TATTACAATTAATATTTTATGCAGAATTTGAATATAACCTCCTTTTATTTAATTTTTAGCTGACAAAGCTCTCTTAACGCAAAGCTAATAATGTTAATACGAAGCCTAAAACGGGCGATCTGCAGCTGTGCTGTGCTTAAAGCTCAATGCGAACTGTGCTTTGCTTCAGTTGTTTATCGAAATTCAAAAATAAAAGCTCGCAGCCAAACAATTCTACAGTGCAGGCAAAAATAACAGTGCCACTGGCGGCAACCGTTTCGCTGTGAGTAAAAACCTGTTGAACGCGTGCCATAGAGTGAGTGAGTGAGAGAGAGAGAGAGAGAGAGAGAGAGAGAGAGAGAGAGAGAGAGAGTTAGCGCGCGTGTGAGTTTTATATGAGAGCCGCTTTCATTAATGCCGAACTACTAACTTGGAGTAAGTTCTGCCTCTCAACAAAAAGAGACGACGATCGCACGACTTCACTCAGTTGTTGTCGCACTCTGGGGCAGAGCGGTTCGTGTTCGTAGTGAAGGTGTTTTGCGTGCGTGATATCTGATCCATTAGTCTTTAATATTTACTTTCGCTGCCCGTCCCACTTACAGAGCCGCGCCTGAAATAAAGCATAGGGCCGTGAAACTCAGGTGTTTGTTTTACTCAGTTCAGTTGTGGACTAGTTCGTTGCAATGGCTGTGCGATTTATGGATATGCTAAAACTCACCTTTAAGTAAGTTTCTTCTTCTAACTGTAAACAAAAGCAAAAACATGTCAAAGAATGTTGCAGCAACAAAAGCAGATTTCTTGTTCGATCGTTAGTGGCTTTGATAGTTGCTCTCGCTTGCTCTTACATATACATATGCATATGTTGTGTTTGTGTGCGTGCGTGTTTTGGTTGCTGCTGGTGTTGCGTTGGTGAAATTGTTGCGCAAGTTCTGCAGTTGCCTTTCGCATAAATTTATCGATGCCTTTTGTTTTCTTCATTTGTGATTCATTAGTTTGTTTTTGTTATTGTTTTTTATATTTTTTGCACGTTTTTTCTCACATTTTAATTTGTTTGTTGTTGTTTTTCGCGATTTTTTTTTTCTTTGGGCTATAATGACCAGCTATTACAACAGCTTTAAAATATCATTTGGTTAAACTTGGATGTTATATTGCATAAGCTGAAATGCAATGAGTCGATGGCGTCGTAACATATTTCAAATACAAAGTACTAATTAAATCAATCTCTGGTTGAATAAAACTCAACTTTGTAGATCGATAATTGACAAGAAATCAGCTGTTGTATACCTAATATTCCAGATAAGAAATTCTATTAAAAAAAAAAAAAAGCTGTTGAGCTTGTTTAGCTTATTTAGTCACTAGCAGCAGTGGACTAAAAGTCTAAAGATCACCTTTTTTCTAAAGCTTTTTTTTATATACATAAAAAAGTACATACAAATATAATTCTGAGCACTTTGGGATACACGTGGATTTTGGTGAGGCATAAAAAGTCTGGAATTGTGAGAAATTAAATATATAGTTCAAGAGTTGATATCTTAAAGACATCTGGCATTACGTACCTACATTTGAACCCACTTTGGCACCCACTTTTGAACCCACTCCACATTCGTGTGGGCGATTCATTAGCTTTTGGACAACTGTCTGGAACTCAGTTAATTGTTAATTTAACAAAGGAAAGGCGCCACGTCGAGCTAATAAGCTCAACGGCAATAAAAGTGAAAATATATATTGTATCAAGTCTAATTAGCAATATGACAACAGATTGATGAGGCCCGCCAGGTACACAGTTCAATGCGCTTTCAGGTGGAAATACAAATAGCTCAATAAGCGTGAGTTGGCAGTTTTCCATTATATCACGATTATTCAGTTCAAATGCCACGGCAATCTAAGGCCGGCAAATTGCATTGTATATGAATGTTGTATCTAGTTAATTTTCGAATTCTGTTCAACCTTTGAGTTTTTGCAAAATGTTTTCGTAAACTTGCGCCTTATCAGCTTCTTGATAACAGCTGTGCGCATTGATATTGGTCTGTATGTGTGTTATATTACGAATTTGGAATGATTTGTTATCGCACAATTCACTGGCTCGAATATAAGTAAGAGAAATAATATAAGAAAAGGGAATATGGCTTGACAATAGATCTGTATGACATCTAGATAGTAATTGCCCATATTGAAAATGCATTGAATTCTAATGCAATAATCCTCAAAAGTTGCCTCACTCAAAGCAATGACAAAGCAGATTCGCGCTGAAGCGGCTAAGCAAATATAATTATCGTAGACATATATTATCATCAGATATGGTATATGAATTATTGAGAAACCAGTTAAGTAACATCTTATAGACAAACCTAACGGGCTGAGATGTGCATATGTATATTGTTATTCACTTTGTGAAAGTCATTCTCGAACTCAATTGGAATTGGCAATAAATGCTGTTATTTCTGCGCTTACGAGAAATTATTGTGGCTGAGATACTCTTAAATGTTTACTGAAGCACTTTAAGCTAAATAAATTACAAATATTGTGACTGTAAATGCTCAAATTTCTTGCTAAATAATTAATAAAATAGCTGTGTAAAAGTTTTACTTACATAAAGATTTCTTTGGATTTTCAATGTTTATTCAAGCAAAAAGCACAAATTTCTAGACATTTGCTGAATGATTGAATGATAAGCTTATACACAGCAACGATTGGTGCTCAAATATTTACAAATATTTAGTTGGATAAATATGTAAAGTAAAAGAAGCACATTAAAATTGAATGTGATGATTTGAAAGTGTTAAAATACTTAAGAATATATTGAGATTTATTTGTATGTTTGACATCATCTTTTGTAGCGTGCGATACCCGGATTTTTTCTTTAATTATTGTAACGCACCAACTGAGGAGCTAATCATATAATAAAATTTTATTTATTTTTATTTTA